TTCTGATCATCCCAACCATCCATCCATCCTTCTCGATCGCAGCAGCACTCGAAACTCGGCGTGATAAGCACGTCACCGCTCGCGCGCTGCTCTCGTACGAAAGATCACATCGATCGATCCGTGTCTTGGTGATTTTCTTTGGACTTTGACTGCATGGCATGCATGGACGCTTGCGCAGTGGTTCACGATTGCATACGCGTACTCTTCACGGGCCACGCAAACATCCTGCTTCTCCATCTCTCGACCTCGAAACAAAGCATTCGCAGAGCCTCGACTCGTTGCGCGCCAGACTCTTCTCGAATGTCTACACAATCACCAAAGATTACGATCCTATCATCATGACGACGGCTTCCTCCTCCTCCTCCTCCTCCGCCGCCGCCGCCGAGAGCAGCGGTGAGGCTGGCAGGAGACCAGAGTACATCATCGAGCACATGGAAGAAGATGATCCAGATGCGCCTGCGGTATTTCCTCAGGTGCGTGTGTATGTCGACCAACAACGTCTTGCGCAATGAGTGGCTGAACCGCTCACTTGCTTGCTCTGCCACATTCGAATCGTCTGACAGTGGGCGCTGTTGGAGTACGGTCACATGTTGACGCTGCTAGGTCCAGGCACGACGTGTCATTTTACATCCCTCTCCAAAGCCTCTCTCCATTCGCTGCAGCTCCAACTGGACAAGGTCGCGCAACCTCGAGCAGATTTCGAGCTTCATACAGCCAGCTTCACCAATGCGCTAGGAGTTCCTCTGAGCAGTATATGCCTGTTGGATCCTCAAGCTCCGCTCGGTCTATCCGTCTCCGATGCCGGGCTCTACAGCGCCGCACAGCAGAGCGAGGCGTCCGGCGGATCATCATCATCATCAGCATCGCCAGCAGACTCTCAAGAACTCCCAGGCGGTCCATTCTCCCACTTTCTCTTTGGCGGTATCCTGGGCGACGATCCACCGCGGGACCGAACTTCTTCGCTGCGCAAGCTGGGCATGCCCAGAAGACATTTGAGCGGCATGCAGATGACGACGGATACGGCTTTGGGAGTCACTTGCCAAGTGGTGGAGAGGGGCAAAGGGATGGCGCTGGACAAGACGGAACAGATCGGTCCCAATGGCGCGCTGCAGTGGTGTCATGCCCCAGAGTTGAACTTTGGAAACGGAGAGTCGGTGAGTAGCGTGCTTCGTGTGCATCCCAAGCAAGCTCTCCTCGCCTCTGGCCCGCTTTTGCGCAGCGCAGGGGCGACGTCGAGTCGCAAGCGGAGTCAGACGCGCACACCGAGCTCCGCTCACAATCGCATCAACTCATCCCGCGTCGCTGCAGGTATCCATGCCTTTTAGATACATGGTCGATCCCAAATCCCCTTCTGCAAACCCTCGACCGCTCATGCCTCCAGGAATGAAGGAGCTCATCCGCAGCGATATGGATCGCGCTTTCGAATTCTAATGGACGTGTCGAGGTGCACCTCGATTCTGGGTCTCTTGCATGCGCGCGCACAATAGAAGTCGTGAGCCTGTAGAAGGAGATTTGGAGCCCAAAGCACCTTGAGTGTGGAAGCATTGGGGCTTTGCAGCGGAGCGCGCCAAGGACAGTGTTTGCAAAAAGTTAGTGTCGTCAGTGGTTGTTGGGAAATTTCTTGCGACAGCGTGGGCAGAGGTGGAGCAAATATGACCACCGACGCAAGATCTGGTGAGCGCAGCAGACGATTGAGCACAGGCACGCCAGCGAA